ATTTATTGAAAACATGTGTCCGGCCGATGTTGAATCGCTATATTATTGAAAAGTGAAAGTAGCGTTTATAGAAGTTAATTATTTCTTATATTTCCCTAGAAACCGTCATGTGAAATTATTTTGAAGAGTTTCGACAGTGAAATTTTACATAATCCTTGTGGAGTAAGGATTATCCGATGTTTATTATGTATCGTCACCATTTTTGTCGTATTGAAATCCCTTTCGGTATTTTGCTGCGTGTTTAGTGTTAACGACAATGTGCCGTATGAATACATCTGCGTTCAAAATTGCACTATTTTCGTGGTTAAATGTTTTATTCTGCTTCATGTACCATCCATGCGTGCTCAATGAAACAGAACCTGAAAAATTATCAATTTTGTTGTTTTGGGCGTTCTCTAGTAATTCTGTTTTCACTTTTTACTGTTACTCACAAACCCATGTGTTATTTATTTTATTACCGCGAACAAAATACTGTGATGATCTGAAATTGTCAACTAAATCTAACTGTTAACAAAAATAAACCAAGAGTAACAACTTACTTTTTATGTTTAAAGTGTATTGAGAAGTTTTCTTTTTCTTTTATTCTATAAGCAAGAGATAATATCTACTAGTCATAAACATACAATAAGCTGTGTTTTATTTAGAAAAAAACACCAACCCATTTATACGGTTATGATCTGTGAAATCTGATACTTCTGTTTCCAGAATATTCTTTGCATGGTTTTTGACAACAGAATGACATGCTATTCTATGTCTGTCCACCATATCTGTAACTTTTCCCTGATTAAAATTGTTAAATAATGCTTTGTTGCATTCTTAAATCGTCTGCATACCTCCTGTTCAAGTTTGACACATAATTATTTACATTGCAATTATTTCCGTTGAAAACGGATGTTTACTTTTTCACTATTCATCAAAAAGAACACCAGGGTGCTAACAACTAAATTTTATAGGTGTCATAGTTACTCCAGAGAAGATGTTGATGTCCTATCGGGGTTAAACGTCGAAAATAAGAATGAATCGAAAAAAATGGCGGCCATTTTATTTCATTTTATTTAGAAAATAGACCACGTGATCAGATTTTATACTGAGAAGAGAATAATTCCAGAAATAGTCACGCTAGAGCTATGAACCTTGTCGTAATGATAAGAAATATATATTTGAATTTGAAGTAGATACCTTAAAAAGTAAAGAAGTTATAATATTTCTTATATAAAACCCAAAGTTCAAAGAGAGATAAATCTGTAAATATTGATTCAGGAGTTATGAACATTGTCACATAAAATGTCATTGATGATAAGAAATAAGTATTTGAAGTTTGAGGTAGATACCTTTAAAACGAAAAAAAGTTATAGTAAAAACAAACATTTTTCTAGTAAAAAAAATCTAAGTTGATGGGGAGATAATTCTTGCAATATTGGTGCAAGAGCTATGAACCTTGTCACATAAGATGTGGATGATGATAAGGTACATATATTTGAAGTATGGAATTGATTTCTTAAGAAATAAAAAAGTAACAGTAAAAAATAGTGTTTTTTTTCAGAAAAATTCTAAGATTAAGGGGAGATCAACCTTAAAATATTGGTGCTACAGTTATGAGTATTTTCATCTAAAATGTAATTTATGAAAAGGAATAAGTATTTGAAGTTTGAGGTAGATACCTTTAAAACTAAAAAGGTTATAGTAAAAATAACATTTTTCTAGTAAAAAAATCTAAGTTTACGGGGAGATAATTCTTGCAATATTGGTGCTAGAGCTATGAACCTTGTCAAATAAAATGTGAATGATGATAAGGTACATATTTTTGAAGTATGAAGTTGATCCTTTTAGAAATAAAGAAGAAACAGTAATAAATAGTATTTTTTCAGGAAAATTCTAAGTTCGAGGGGAAATAAAATATGATAAACAAGATCAACAAGGAAAGGCGGCGTTCAATAAACCTAAAAATATTGGTGCTAGAGTTATGAACCTCATCACATAAGATGTGGATGACGATAAGGTACATATATTTAAAGTATGAAAGTGATCCCTTAAGAAATAAAGAAGTAACAGTAAAAAAGGTATTTTTAAGGAAAATTCTAAGTTTTTTTGTTTTTGTTTTTTTGAGGCCCCAACTGGGTAACCAGAAAAATTCTAAGTTCAAGGGGAGATAAAAATAAAAATATTGGTGCTAGAGTAATGAACCTTGTCACATAAGATGTGGTTGATGATAAGGTAATATCAGAAAAATGGACGCGGACGCGGGTGCCGACGCCGGTGCGAGTAGGACAGCTCTCCATATACTTCGTATAGTCGAGCTAAAATACTGTTACCTATGTCACAGTACAAAATTCTTAGTCACGTTGTACACTTGCATTAACAGTAAGAATAACTCCAAGAGGCCTATGGGAAATTAACATTACGAAAAAAGTGAGGGGTTATAATATAGTATGTATCTATCGCTTATTGCATGTTACGGTTTTATAGTCCCTTTTAGCCCAGAATCTTTTACAACAATACATGCAATAGGAGAAATACATTCCTGCGATGAAATTTGTTTTAACTATTGCTTTTGTTTCCTTTTTCCAATGCTTAGCTATTGGTTACAAGTTAAGATAATTTTATTAGTACAGTATATAATGTAAAAATAAAAAACTAAAATATAGATAGAGATGTCCAACCAATCACCAATACGAAAGTCTGGAAGTCGACGATCAATGTTCTGCCTCGGAATTAATCAATGTATTACATGGCATTAATTTATCTAAGGAAATATATACACATAAAGTTTGCTATATTTGCAATTACTCTTCCAAGTATAAACAAGAGTATCCGTGTCAAAAAGGGGTGTCAACAAACCAATGTTTGGCTGTATTTTGGATGTGGCCAATTAGGACAAGGAAGTGCAATTATTACGATGTTTTCTCGAATATATGATATTCATTTATATTATTTATTAGTCAGATAACTAACGGTCTTTGAATTAAACTGGGACATAAACGCTTTCAATATATTCCGACATTATGTGTGTGCTTTATATGATTAAGTTTTGTACTATTTGTTAATATGTTATTCAGTTCGAGGCAATCTTTTCGATTGTACATGTTGTAGACGTCGAAATTCCATGTGTAGATGAAATAGAACTGAACACGCCTGAAGGCATGTCCGTCGCAAAAATGTGAGTTTATCGTAAAAGACAAAAAATCAATGGTGAAAAAATAATTTAAAGATATATTTCGTTTTTGTAACTCTGAAATTCGTTTTCGCAGTAAACAGTTCATACTTCAATTCATTTGTTAAAAGTAATAAATTGCTTTTAAAAAATATTTTGGACTTTGAAAAATAATAATTTTATTAGCATTGACACTCTTTTAAGGAAATTAAAATGAACGCGAAATTGGATTGCCGTATGACATATTCTCAAATCGAGTATTCCTAAATTGTACATAACTGCTTTAAAAGACTATCATTATGAAACAGTGTCGAATTACACTCACTTAGACGATATTGTTTTAACGAGGAAGACGCAAACAAAAATATTGCCTGAAAATATTAAAATAAAACAAATATCTCATAATATCGAATCAATAGACTGGTAAATAGAAAACTGAAAGTAAATGGGAAAGCTTACTTAACATGGAGTTTCCATGGAGTAAAATATGGTGCCACGTTTATAATTCTTTTTCTTCATGCAAAGCTGTCAGTTTCAGTGGAAATTTTTACACAATGTAATTTATACAGAACACAAACTGTCTCTAATGAATTTATCTGATGGTAAATGTTGTATATATAAATCTCACAGAGAAACTTTGTTTCATCTCTTCTGGGATTGTGATTTTGCAAAGAATATTTGGACATATGTAATTTAAAAACTTAAGTCCGCTAAAATCTTGGAAAATGATTTTTCAAATTTCCAATCTACTGCACATTTTGGTCTTTTGAACAAGCAGTTAATAATAAATTGATCAATACTGTTATTGAATTGAATTTGAATACAAGTGTAGAAATAAAGACGATACTGTGACAAAACTTTTAAACATATTTGTAATTTGTATGAATATTATCTTTAATGTATGGGACGTAACTCAATTGAAATTATAGACTTAATTCATAATTATTTATCTAATTAATTCGCTTTTTCGACCTTGTCAATTTTCGTTTTTCGGAACAGAGAATGATACCTTTGTGAATTTTTATATTTATCACATTATCTGTACTGTTTCTTATTTTGTCAGAAATGAAATATATACATGTATTATTGTAAGGCTGGTAGGAGGATGCTGGTCATACCCTATCATGCCAATGACGGGAAAATAAATGGGGTAACGCCTTGACTGGGCGCCCGAAACTGAAAAAAAGGTGAAAAAAATAAAACAAATTGAAAATTTGCGTCACTCAAAACCAAAGGACTATTGTAAGTTTTTTTTTCGTAGAAAAATGAGAGGGTGTCATCTTTGATAATGTATTTGACATCCACAGATTTCGGTAAAATTCTGACTGAACAAGTGTCTGACAATCATAATCAATTGAAAAAAAATGTTCACTGGTGTTAAATTATAACCAAATCCGAATAAATGTCAACACGAAGACATTTTTGTACTTTCGGTTTCTTCAGATAAATACATAAAGAATGTACTATTTACTGTAATATCTGTAAATTAAATTAATTTAGGCGGACTTTTACCAAATATATTGGTAAAAATATAGTCTTCAACTACTAGCCTTAAATAACAATATTTTGTTTATAAGCATAAGTTAATCAGAAAAAACGTATCCGTTCTGTGTATTCTTGCTATTGTGTTCGAGGTTCTTATATGAAAGGACAGGGCCGAGAAAGTGCGATTTGTGTAAATGTGATTATAAGCAACTTCTAATTCCGATCACTGAGATAAATTGAAAGCTATAACAATTCGTCTTACATATATTTTGACCTTGAACAAATTAACGTATCTGATAGCATAATTGTTACTCTGAATTGAAATACAAATAATGAGTTCACATATATATATATAATACGATGTACTGATGTATATATTTTATTTTACGAAATAAGTTAATACAGCAACGATCGCACACATAATTCATAGGTACATTTTGATTAATTGCTTATTAAAATCATTACCCCCATAGCATACTTTATAACTATGTTCTGCATACCAAGTAGCCTTTACAATTTGTAAAAACAGTGAGTAAGTTTAATTAATTGACATAAACGTTATAATATTTGTCGGTAACATAAATGGAATGCCTGTAACATTGTCAGTATCCTTGATTCTAAGGCAAGTGACTGTGTCCACAGAAAAGGTCTAACTATTCGTAGATGTGACACAGCGAGGTGTAAAAGAAAACAATGAACAACTTCCGACACAGCCAATGATACCGAGATATGGGAATTTTGATTCACTGGAACAAAGGCAAATAATACTAAAATCATTTCAATTCCAAGCTCTATAGTTGAATATACTGCCTTTCATTTTTTCATCTGCAATTGCCTCAAACTCCTCGTTTTGTGAAACTGTAAAATGATTCTTCCAGTCACCAATGATACCTGACAAAATCAAAATTGAATTGTATTTCGCTTAAAGTACAACACGTTGATATTTGGGCATCTCTCTTAATGGTAAGAAATGTTTCAAATAATGCAATGTATATTTTCTACTGCAAAGCAGCATGCCACCAGATTCATGCATATTTTAATGAACATTTTGAAAATACATGTAAATTAATTTTAAAATATAGTCGGTAAACAGAAAAAGTAATAAACACATTGCAAACGGCAATTTACAATCCACGTTAATTACGAAAGAGGTTAAAAATATGCAAAAAAGCACTTACTGCGTTAGAGATATGTTAAATATATTTTTAAAAAATCATTCATTATTCACATATATCATAAAAAATATCATTCGAATATTTCAATCTTAAAATCTAAATACATTTTTCTACAATTTAGATTTTTTATAAATATTTTTGGCTCATCTAGGCATGTAACTCATTACAATCATGTCATTACTTAATATAATAATTCCACCTCTATACCATCTGACACAACTAAAATAAATTAAATTAAAGTATCAGAGACCTATCTATTGGACAAAACACATTTAGTTTATGTTATCTAATAATCTAAATTGCTACATTGAGTGACTGTTTACATTGCCCGTATTATTTGGGGCCTGGCACAAGTTGAATGAAAATTTCCAGTAAACAACGCATGGATACTATCAATAAGATTTCATTTACTTAAATACCCTTTACTACGAAAGCCTTATAGTATCAAATTAAACCAAATAAATATTAGTAAGGCGTTATAACGCGAATCAAATGGCGAGATAACACGAATAAGATTCTCGTTATAACGCCTTTACATTTTTAAATTTTATTTTGTTTGATACTTTTGACTTTCGTACTGCTCAATGATTGTGTGATAAACATATTCTGTATATCAATTCTCGGAATACTGTATCTTCAAATCATATGAAATAGACTTCACATACAATTTCAAAATTTATCAACACATTTTTGTATGATCAGACACTGTCAATGATTCATCATTATTTATGAACATCATACATTGCATCTTGGGACAGTTAAAAAAAACTAATTAAGTGTTATAGAAATCGTTTAGGCGCGTACCTTTCCTATAAAGCGCCGACTTCCCATTGTTATCTATGAGTTGTGTTTTCAGCTTTCCACTGTCTACGTCATTCCTCAAATTATCGATAGAACATCTATTTATAACTTCTTGTAAACGCTCATCAGAGTGATTTAAACCAAGATAATTTTGTATGCGGCGTACCTCGTTTAAAGTGTTCTGTGGTAAAAAGGAAACTGATTCAACCTCGCTAATCATATATTATATACAGCAAACATATGTGTTTTATAAATCAAACAAATGATGTAAACCAAGAAAATTATGTATACGGTGACATTTGTGTTAAGTGAACTGTGTTCAACCAAGATAATTGTTCATGTATAACTACCGCTAGCATTTGATAAATTGTTCTATATAGTAAATATGTATATCAAGTATAACAAAAAGAACGTGATTCAACCAATGATAATTATTTCGACGCCAGATGGTGAGCGATGTCAATAACTCATCTGAAAGGCACAATATGCTTTAGAACTGCTTATACTTTTATTTCTCAAACGCTTTTTTATTTTTGGAATACTTTAAAGGTTTCAAAAATGTTTTTCATTGGCAAGTTATCTAAACCATCGTCTTCTTTTGTTGCTTTTTGGCAATTAGTACATAGTGATAGTGATTTAATAATTTGTATTGAAGTCAAAATATTAACTTTGTTTACAGTTTGCTAGTTTAAATGACAAATAATTTGACAATTAGCGCTAATTTCTTCAGCTAGGATTCATCTTACATTCTCTAAACTAAATCATTATTTAACGTTAGTATTGTTATTCTAAAGAAGATGAAATTCGTTACATGGGCATAATGCGCCTTTTCGCTCTCTGTGGTCTGGTATGCTTAAAAAACAAGAACTATTTTTTATGTTTCATCTCAGGTGCACATTTGTGCCTGAAATAATGCATAGAAGGACACCTGAGATAATTTTTCAACAGTAAAGCTGGAACGTCGCAATAGGACCTATACTGTGTTGGTGTGACGTAAAACCCAAATTAATCAAACAAATAAATATTTTTCAAACAATTAAGAAATTTTCAGATATGACGATACTCAAATCCCGACCGGAACTTCCTTTTCATGTTTTCTGACACAATTCTTTCATGTGAGGAAGGTATCCAGATAGCTTACGTTAAGTCGATGGATCTACTCAGGTGCTAGTTCATGCCTGAAATAATGCACGTAAGGGCAACCGAGGTCGTCTTCCACCACTAAAGCTGGAGTGGACTTATACTGTGTGTTGTGACATAAAACCCAATCAATCAATCTAACAAACAAACATGATTCAAACAATTAAGAAATTTACAGATACACACGAAACTCGAACGTATATCCTATACAAATATTAACAAGAGGGCCATGATAGCCCTGAAATCGCTCACCTGTATATAGGCCCTTGGGGCTGTGCTAATTTTAACCCAGGGGCTATTTTTTTTAACCATCTTGGTAGAAACCCATTAGAAGATGTTTAATGATAAATATCTTAGCTCTAGCTCTTGGGTTTTTAAAAGAAGATTGTTTTCTAGTTTTTACTATAGACATATAATGAAAATCAGAACGCCGTGGCGGGGCCAATTTAACCTTGGGTCTTTTATTTGAACAAATTTGGTAGACACTAACTAGAAAATGTTACAAGAATATTTTAAGTTTTTACTATAGACATATAAGGAGAATCAGTACCCCCGGGGCGGGTCAATTTTGATCCCAGGGCTTTTATTTCAACAAACTCGGTAGACACTCACCAAAAGATGTTTCATGCTTAATATCTTAGCTCTAACTCTTTGTGTTATTAAATAGAAGATTTTTTAAGTTTTACTATATACATATAAGGAAATTCAATGACCCCCCGGGGTGCGACTAATTTTGACCTTAGGGCTTTTATTCGAAGAAACTTGATAGGCATTCACTAGAAGATGTTTCATGCCAATTATTTAAGCTCTAGCTCTTTCGGTTTTTTAAAAGAAGATTTTTTAAGTTTTTACTATATACATATAAGAAAAATCAGGGCCAGTTGGAGCAGGGCCAATTTTAACCCAGGGCTTTTATTTGAACAAACTTGGTAAACACTCATCAGACAATATTTCATGCCAAATATATAAGCTCTAGATCTTTTGATTTTTTTAAAAGAAGATATTTTAAGTTTTTTCTTTTAGTTGCCATGGCAACCAGAGTTCTGCATGGAATTAAATTCTTTGAACAATTTTTAAAGGTGACTGCCAAATGACCATTCCTGTGAAGTTTGAATGAAATTGGCTTAGCGGTTTATTAGGAGATGTCGTTTAAAGTAAAAGTTTACTGACGACGGACAGACGGACGCCAGACAGAAAGTGATCACAAAAGCTCACCATGTCACTTTGTGACAGGTGAGCTAAAAAGTTCACTGTTTTTCTATAAATATATGGGTAATATGAATTTTACGATTATGATTCTGCAAAAGGCGAACATTGTTGACAGTAATTTGTAATGTAAATATAGTAAATAACATGTGAATAATTCAAACAGAAATCATTACGCTGACTGCAAACGTAAAAAGGTTACTGCAAATAAGCATTTGAAAATGGTATATATATATAATGCAGTCATGCATTTACACACTACACATATTTACAACAAGATTGCATTTGAGAAAAATGCTATGCCACCGCATTAATACAACACTAAATAGTAGTGTGCATTAATACAACACTAAATAGTAGTGTAGGAACAGATATTTTTGTTTCTATACAATTGAAGATTGTCATAATGCATAGATCCCTGACCTATCTAATTCTTATCAACAGATTAGTGGTTGAATCTATTGTTAATCCAACAAAAGATCAGAGTAGGAATATATCAATGCACTTGAGTCTTGTTAATTTGGTGGTGAAGGTCATATTTCTCACAGCCTAAATTTCATGACTATATCAAAGGACAACACAGTAAGACACTTTGTTAAAATCTAAGTCAGCTAATATCAAAGTTCACTTTACATCTTAATCTGTGCACATGGTTCAAATTTCATAGCTGTACATCAAAGGACAAGAAAGTAAGTCACATCATCAAAATCTAGATAACCTGATATCAAAGTTCAATTTTACAACTTAAACTGTGCACATGGTCAAAATTTCATTGCTGTACATCAAAGGATAAGAAAGTAGGTCACTTTCCCCTTGGGCAAGGCAAAATTTTGACCCAAGGGTTTTATTCAAACAATCTTGATACAGGTCCACCAAACAACATTTCAAGTCAAATATCTAAGCTGTAGCTTTCTCCCATTCAGAAAACATTTGTTTTATTTTCTGTTTTTACTATGTGTTCATAATGAGAATCACTGCCCCTGGGCAGGGCCAATTTTGACACCAAGGGAAAAATTTGAACAACTTTGGTAGAGGACCTATACATGATATTATATAGCAAACATCAAAGCTCTATGCCTTGTACCTTCAAACAAAAATACTTTTTTTTTTACTATATGTACTTAATGAAAATCAATGACCCCCGGGTCGGAACCAATTTTGACCCAAGGGCTATAATTTGAACAATCTTGGTAGAAGTTCACTTCGCAAAGTCTCATGCCATATATTTAACCTCTAGCCTTTGTCAATTCAGAGAAGAAATTTTTCAAGTTTAAACTTTATTTTTTTGTTTGTTTTGGGTTTTACGTCACATCAACACAGTATAGGTCATATCGCGACGTTCCAGCTTTACTGGTGGAGGAAGACCTCAGGTGCCCTTCCATGCATTATTTCAGGCACGAACGGGCACCTGAGTAGAACCACAGACGTTCCGTAAGCTAGCTGGATAGCTTCCTCACATGAAAGAAACCAAAGTCCCTGTAGGGATTCGAACCCACAGCGGTGAGGGGCAAGTGGTTTGAAGTCAACGACCTTAACCACTCGGCCACGGACGACCCAACATTTTAACTTTATACATATAAGGAAAACTATCGCCTCTGAGGCAGGGCAATTTTAACTCTAGGGGCATACTTAAAACAACTTTAGTAGAGGACCCATGATATTACATACCCAATATAAAATCTCTTAAGCCTTAAAGTACCTTCAGACAAGACGTTTTTTTTACTATATGTACATAGTGAAAATCAATGACCCCTAGGGGTGGAGCCAATTTTGACCCCAGGGCTATAATTTGTACAATCTTGCTAGAGGTTCACTACACAATGTTTCATGCAAAATATCTTAACTCCAGCCTTAATAAATTTAGAGAAGATGATTTTTAAATTTTACTATATACATATAAGGAAAACCTATGGCCCCCGGGGCGGGGCTAATTTTGACACTAGAGGCAAAATCTGAACAACTTTGGTAGAGTACCTATAGATGATATCATTAACAAATATTAAAGGTCTAAGCCTTGTACCTTCAGACAATAAGATTTTTTACTATATGTATATATTGAAAATCATTGACCCCCGGAATGAGGCCGATTTTGACCCCAGGGCTATAATTTGAACAATCTTGCTAGAGGTTCACTACACAATGTTTCATGCAAAATATCTAACCTCTAGCATTTGTCAATTGTTTTTACTATAAGTTTTACTTTATACATCTAAGGAAAACCAATGACCCCCGGGGCGGGCCGATTTTGACCCCAGGGCTATAATTTAAACAATCTGGGTAGAAGTCTACCAGACAATGCCTTATGCAAAATATCTAACCTCTAGGCCTTTGGGTCTTTACAAGAAGGTATTTTAAGTTTTTACTATATGTACATATAGTGAAAACCAATGACCCCCGGGGCGGGGCTGATTTTGACCCCAGGGCTATCATTTGAACAATCTTGGTAAGGGTCTACCAGACAATGCCTTATGCAAAATATCAAAGCTCTAGGCCTTTTGGGTCTTTACAAGAGGGTATTTTACGTTTTTACTATATGTCATATAGTGAAAATCAATGACCCCCAGGGCGGGGCCGATTTTGACCCCAGGGCTATAATTTGAACAATCTTGGTAGATGTCTACCAGACAATGCTTTGTGCAAAATATCTAAGCTCTAGGCCTTTTGGGTCTTTACAAGAAGATTTTTTAAATTTATTCTTATAATTCCTTTTGGTTGCCATGGCAACCAGATTTCTGCATGGAATGAAATTCTTTGAACAACTTTGGAAGCCCTTCACACAAGGATCAATCCTGCCAAGTTTGGTTGAAATTGGACCAGTGGTTTTTCACAAGAAGATTTTTGAAGTTCACTATATAATCTATATAACACACACACACACAAACAAACAAACAAACACACACACACACGCACACACACACAGGTGAATCGCTATATGCCACCGCATCGCAGATGCTGCGGTGGCATAAAAAGGGTTCGGGTAAATGTTCACCTTTTTTAGGTTTTCATACTGTACAACAAGAACATCCATCATTGGATTAGTTTTGAGTTCCTCTTGCCACTTATTGTAGTAATCAAAGAACGAGCCAAATAAGACTGAAATGAAATTGTTATAATCAAATTTACATGTTCATATTTTGATCACAGTCAAAGGGCAAACTGAAATTAAACAATTAAAGTAGAATTTCTAGTTTTCATACCTAAAAATAGCATAAGACCCTTATAATTATAATGATTAAACAAAGTTAATCAAATTAAGATGCACACAATTATTTAATACAGATGCATTAAAAATATCCACCCGAAAAATCAAGACACAGTCGTTCGGATGCGCATCATTATATCACTCGGCTATGCCCTCGTGATATAATTCGTCACCCTCGAACTCCAAACAGTGATGTTATTGAGGAATAATATTTCCTTTCAATGTAAATGTATGTATATATCAGAAACCGTCCGTGAAACTTTCATTTTTGTTTTCATGTGACTTACTATCCAGAAATTGCTCTTTTTACTTACTACACATCTGCAAAGAACTTTAATACTCTACGGATGATCTTTCAGCAAGATTTTTTTTGGACTTCTTTCATAACAAATGTCAATATTAAGCTTGGTTTTGTGTTTTAGTGAAGAAAGAAAGCTTACTTTCAATCATTTTGGTACATAATTATACCGTCTCGTGTGACTTACTAAAGCTACATTTGCAATGTTCACACAATTCAAACAATGTTCTCAAAAACCATAAAACGTAGGACAATGCAATTGGTATTTATATTTAAAGAAAGTATAACCGTGCATATGATAGGCTAGGTCTAGTTTGATTTAGGAAACTTTTCTCATCTAAATGTATAAAAATAATGAAATTACCGAGGCTCAGAAGTCGCCATTACTTGTTTGTATCACTATACAAAGTTACTCGATTCTCCCCCCCCCCTCCCCTCTTGGTAGAAGTAATTTTTCTGACGTCATTTTTTAATTGACATCATATCTGATGTCATCTGACGTGTACGCATTACTTTTTACGCTGTGTATATATTGTGTAATAATGTGCTTTTAAAATTACCCTATCTGTTTGATCGAAGAATAGTGTGTTCAAGCATTTTAGAATGCATAAAAACACACATTTTCAGACCTTCTATGTTCAATAGGGAAACATGCAGGTCGTAATATGTTCAACTCATTCTATTCAGTAGTTTTGGTTATATAAACTTGCACACAAAAGGTTAACCATAGTGTGACGAGACTTCGGCGCCAGTGTTAATGGTTCTCCCAATTCTTCGAACAGTCCAGCTAAAATGATTGTTCTGAAGAAATGAGAGTTAAGAAATGATCTGAAAATTTGCAAACAAGCTCTTGGCTCAGTCGGACATCAAAAGTGAATAATTCTAAAAAAAACAGTTTAGAGGAATCCTTTAAAGTCTAACTTTTTACCAAAATATTTACGTTCAATATTAAATATTGTAAAGAAGCATACTTTTCCCTTCCAGCCAGTATCTTAGAAACTGGTTCCATGATATATCAAAATCACCAACAATTTTCTGTTTCCGCATCATGTAGTACATTGAGACTGCGGAATCTTTAGGATTTCTGAAGACAAGAATAGTTTTCCCGCCATTAGCAATATGGTCTGTTGGTAGATATTTTGGTGGTAAATGGGAAGATATCAGTCTTCCATCGTCTACTTTGTCCATGTACTATTTGTCAAATAGATCTATTAGCCAACCTGAAAGTGATACCTTTTCTTCTAAGGGACCGTCAGGCTGGCGAAGGAAGTGTACAAGATTGGCTGCCCAGTGATTTCCTAGAAAGATTTTGTATTAAACAGTTTTTAAAGTGTTTCAGTCTAAAATGATTGCTAACGAAATATTAAAACATTTTTTTAATGTATGTTTTTCGTTCTTATTTTTATCAATGGAAAATTAATTTGAAATAAAGTTCACTAAAATAACATTAGTTCCAAAGTCGCAAAGATTTCTGTACACAAATATAACCTGATTTACCATATGTTAATTAGGCGAGTTTAATCTAAATAAATCACTAAGTGTCAAAACATCTTAAAGTTAACGAACTTTCAGAATGGGATGTGAAATAAGAGTTTGCCATCTATAATTGTCAGATATGAAGTTTAAAAGAATCATTTTTATTATAATATTTTACATCAAATCTGAATGACATCCCTTGTTCAAAAACTTGCCTGTTTTCGGATGACTACATATCAATACATCACCACTTTTGTACTTGAGATTCTTCACAATGGAGAGTCTATTTAGTACAGCTTCTTCACCATCGAGAAATGGCATAGGGAAAATAATACCATCAAGTTCAATCACTTTTATTTTCCCACCATCTTCGCCCTCAAGATACATTTGCTTACTTGTTTCTGTTTTATCACGCTAGGAAAGAAAAAGCATGATACAGATGAACATACTATAGAACATAATAAGATAAATGTAAATATACGACAGCTAGACTTTTTAGTCTTTAACAAGGTATAAGCAAATAATTGTGATATTAACTAAGTTATAATATGCTACGATAGAGTGGATATACTGTGGATGGAGTATGGTTAAACTTTTCAGCTATAGAAATTCGACTATGGGTGTTGAGTTATAGTTGAGTTTAATTACAAAAATCCCTAATATATATAATAAGATATTGTAAATAAATATTTTTTTTAATATATATAGCTTTTTACCATGGACAGTTAAAATGATAATATGTGTATAGATTTCACTTGAAACATCAAACATTGGGAGAATTAAATAAAATTCCGTTGTCCTTTAAATTTATCAAAATCTAAGAGCTCGGTCAATATTGACACAACAAAAAAACATGTACACAATCAAAGGCTTATTTATGATAACTTATCACATTCATATATCTGGAAAACAAAATGACTTACCTCAGTGGTAGCCGTCATAATTTAGTATAATTAAAGGTTGTTTATGTCGTTATCTAATTTGACCTAGATAGGATGAATATTTACTTCATGTACTAAGTGCACTCATTCCAATTCATGGTGTGCACGTTTTACCCCATTCAGCACTCTTAACTAACATATAAGGCTTGTCTGAGCTTCATTTTAAATTGGACCGATGTCTTTTCAGGTTAAAATATACGTGCGTGTTCTTCTCTGTCTTGTAAGCCACTCACTGGAACTACTTCTCACGACAGGTAATTATATAAAACTGATGACTGAAACTAAATAAAGTAAAATTAATTTGATTCATGAACTGATAAACATTTAAACAGTGATTGCGTTTTGACTTCTTGATATCGTTCACATCATCAGAACACTGTTATGTGTGTGTATGTGTGTGTGAAGGTTTTTTTTTGCGTCTACGCAAAAATCATTGTCATTAAATACGCAAAACTTCAACAGAAAATAAATATAAAATTATATGACTATTGGATTTATATTATTTCAAACGTTTTTAAAAATTCCACGTCAGATCCGAAAGGATACAAAACAGAAGTTTTTTCTTTTAAAATAACGAGTCATATTCAGGATATTCTGTCCTCCACCGATATGACTTTTTTAGAACGTAAAACGAATATAACATTATAACATTTTTATTTATGGACCAAAATTTACGATTTTTCATGTACATGTAATTACATTTTATTATTATAAAATATCGTATCTAGAAAAAAACAACAGAAACTCTCTAAAATATAAATCATATTCGGCATCTTCCGTAAGTTCTATCCGTGAGACACGGATATGACTTTTATAGAAAACGCAACGAAAATAACTTATAACTTTTTTATTAATGGACCAAAATTTACTATTTGTTTATGTTATTACATGTTCTTATTATAAAATATCGTATTAAGAAGGGAAAAAAATCAGAAAATTAATAAAATATAAGCCATATTCGGTATCTTCCGTCCTTCACGTATATGCCTTTTATAGAAAACGCAACGAATATAACTTACACTTTTTTATTTATGGACCAAATTTAACGATTTTTTGCATATTATTTCATTTTATTGTAATTAAATATCACATCAAGACAAAAAAAAAGACAGAAATAACAAAAAACAAACAAACAAAAAAAGTCATATTCGGTAACGGATATGATTTTTATATAAAAAAAACGCAACAAATATAACTTAAAACTTTATTTATTGACCAAATTAAACGATTTTTGTTGCATGTAATTTCATTTTATTATTATAAAACATCGTATCAAGAAAAGTAAATAAAAGAAATAATCAATTTATAAAATATAAGTCATATTCGGTATCTTCTATCTGCTACGGATATGACTTTTACATCTAACGTAATTCGAATAAAACTTAATTTTTTTATTTATGGACCAAATTTAACGATATTTTATATGTAAAATCATTGTATTATTATAATTTTTATAATACATCGTATCAAGAAAAAAATAATAAAAAATAATTACTTTATGAAATATAGGTCATATCCGTTATTTAAAGTCATATCCGCAGATAAGAGTCATATCCGGCATTAAGTCATATACTGTATACGCGAAAACACATTACAAAAAATCTTTACCGAAAAAGAAAACACTGACTTCTCGTTTGAAAATTACATGCTTTTAAAGGACACACACTATATAATTCTGTATCATACAAAAACAGATGCAAACCTTTTTGGCCTTGTTAACCTTCACGTACGCAACAAAGGTAGCACACCACAGTAATGTAAGCCACAGCTTCGAATGGCCAGGGAGGATTTCTTGGATATAGTGAATATTCTGGATTTAAATGACTGGTTGTCTTTAAAATGCATTTTCAGCATAAAATTTGTTTTTGTGACATCTAATATGATCACTGGCAAATTCGAAAACATGGCCAGAAATCACATGCTGTTGATTATGAATGTCAAGGCAGCCATTTTTTGTAAACATTGCTTTTATACAGCATGCACGGTAAAAAGAAGTCATTTTACAGGGGGGTACAAACTTTTAGCAGTAGCAAAAAATCTACAAGGTTGAGGACTAGTTTCTTTGTGATATTTTGCATGTATAGGGAGTTGCTAAAGCAGAGACGGTGTTCCTTTAGCCTGTATATTTGCAGATATTTTTTGCCAGAGGGTCGAAATGTGTTGTTTTGGGTCTCGGGCCACTGTAGATTTTGGGCTTCAACGGAATGAATTGCAATTTTTTTGACTGCCTGCCTATTGCAGATGGGATAATTTCTTTGTAGATTTGCAATCTTATGTCATATATGTTCTCAACAAAATGTGTTTTCTTTTTCCAGGTTGTGTAGTTTGGTATCAGAATTATTAGACGTATTGCTTGCAGGACATTGACGGCAGGAACTTGAAATTAACTGTGGAGTGCTACCAAAACTGAATCTTAAATGGCATGACAAAAGGCGTCTTAACAGGAAAGGGCAATAACTTATACAGATTTACAGTTATATAGCTCCCCTTATTAACAATATCAAGCTCATTATTTTCATTGTCAAGTTGAAGCAAATTGAATATTTATTTCAAAAAGTTGAATGTTATATTGGTGATTAACAAACAGTTGGTATTGAAAAATGTCCAGGGGTAAAATATAAATCTGCCTTAAAAATAAAAAGACTGCCCCATTCTTTCCTTAAATTGAGCGTTACAGGTAAAGTCCTTAATAATTCCTTTGGTCACGTGAATTTCTTATTGCTCACGCGATGTATATTGTAAATTAAAAAATTATGACAGAAAATTTAAAAAAAAAATGACTTATTTTAAAATTTCATCTGTCCACTGATGATAAACCCTTAAATGGGAAAATGTCACTTATAGTAAAAAATATATAAGAATTTTGTTACTGCACATACACAAGTGTACTATTAATTCTTATAAATGTTGCAAACAAAAGTATTTGTGAATTTTAATATATCATTGGACAAGTTTCTAAATTATTGGCTTGAAGGGAAAAGTATGTCATTTGTCAATATGTCGTATTTAATAAAAGAAGTACATTTATACGTATAACAAATAGTTATTCTATATAGTTTATAAAGTTTATAGAGATTATAACAATTGCATTGCAAATACAAAAAGGCGTGTAATTTATGTAAACAAAATTTTAAAATCATTCTTTGTCATTATTTATGTTTTTCACATTTTACGAACAATTGTGCAATATTTTTTGGTTATGTAGTTTTTTTAGTCTTATTTGGATCCGTTACTCTTTGCTACCTAGCGAAGGGTAGCGAAGGGTAGAGGAGCGACAGTAAAGATATGATTTAAAATGAGATTGACATTAAATTGCATTTACTTAAAGTAGATGTTACAGTGTTTCCGTTTCTACACAATGTATGCAAGTATAAAAGTGCATCATTCCTTTATAGGGCAAATTGTGCAACACCACGTTTTATTAACTTATTGTTATTAGTCTTTATTTATTCAGAATCTTAAGTATAAAATTTCTTAATAAGTGGAATGTTGAGATTGCGTGTACATTATTGTAACAACATTCTGACTTGATCATTTCTTGAGCGGAAAGTCTAATTCTGCAGAGCTAAAAAATTCTATTAGGAGCAAATATAAACTGTATTGTTAAATTACCAATGTTTCTTTTGATGACAGTGCATTTGTATAAAAAGCCTTACAAATTTTCAACCGTCTAAAATTTGCATCTAATTCTCAATTTACGGAATTGAAAACAAAACAGGCAACATATATTAGAATTGTTCAGTCTTGATTTAGAAAATCGAAAAAAAAACCGGGAAAATTAATGAATGAATATGCTCTTACAACCTTTACATCCATTATAAGCGCTGACAATTTCACATTTTAGAGACCTGTTTACTTAAATGACAGCCCTTGACAAAAACAAAGCTAAAAAGATAAAATATATCACAACAAAAACGTGAACAAACCAGCATTTAATATGGTATGGTGCTTTAGTACGTCTACACTTGTTTGAGCAGTCATTTTTAGTAAACTGACGAAACACATTCTGTGTGTGACATTATTATATCGACATTTCAATAGTTTATGTTATATCAAGAAGTGTTTTACAGTTGATAGATAAGGTTAAAATGTAGGACAGAAAATCTCGCTGCTACATAAACAAGTGAATTTCAAGGCTTTATCACACACACACATGAAATAGCAGAGTAAAGTCGGAATAATTACATATACACTTCATGGAAGTAGCGGAAAAGGTGGGACTTTCATTTGATTATCTTTATCATTTATTTATTATATCTTAAAGTAAAACAGAAAAAGTAGTAGTGGTAATCATTTCTTCCCGGGCAATCTTTGTTCCGGGTCAAATTTGATTTTACAGAATTAATTAATTTTAATACAACTTTTATAATCATTTGCGCCGCTATATTTTCAAATACCTGCTATTTGTAAAACTGTATTACAAAACTTTATCTTAAAACGTATTTCGTGCAAAGTGGAAATATATTGAATTTTCAAATGAACACATTTGAAACCGCTATGCTTATTTGTTTTTTTTTTACTTTATGGAAGCATTATGCAAACATCTAGGACAACCCTTGCATTACAATATCATAAGAAAGACCTATCCTTTTACGATAGATTTTTTTTGCCTGCAGTGCAAAAAGTTTCTTCTCTTATCTATCAAACAATGGTTAAAAGGCGAGCGGATGCAGGTTTTATTTATGGTCTTTATGACGTTCGATTTCCTTTGAAATATCTTTCAAGAACATATTCTTCTTTTTTTCATAATACCAATTATTTTTCAACCTTCATAATTACATAAACTATTTAACTAGTGAGACAATCATTTAAATAATTAAAATATAACTAAAAGTGATAACTTTGTTAGCGCCTGCTTTGTTTTTTAACATTAAAAGGCTGACAATTTAGATAATAAATTCAAACGCACACACACATGACAGGGCTTATCACAAACGCAACATAGGTTATCCGCCGGTTCTGCATTACTAGTACTAAATGTTGATAATATTGATACACATGCATAACAATATTTTATTCAACTCCTTCTATATTCAATAAATTCATTATTGAACATAAACTTGCTGTTCCAATATCCTGTATAAAATATCAAATTTGCAAGCTAAAAACAATTATCAGAATTGATTAACAATGGCGACAAAGGCGCTGCTTTTTTAACATTAAAAGGCTTTAAATGCAATGCGAACAGAAAATTGTTTAAAACGATTGACATATTTAAACATTTAAGGTGACTGACCGGCCTTTGGAAGAAGAAAAACACACGCTGCAATAAAGTTACATTTCCAATTGACAATAACAATCTTACAATTTAAAAGGTAATTTGCGTTGTATAAAAAAAGAAAAAAATCATCGTATTAATTTACAAACTTCTGATGGACAAAAAAAATCAAAGTATATAACTTTCAACTAGAAAGGTCACAGTGGTTTAACATGTGTACTTTTTATCTCATATGGACGTACACGTTAGACATACGCATGGGAATATATCCTGAATATCTGAAAAAATTATTATATGAAGTTAATATACTAGACGAAAGTGCATCTCTGTAGGTCTCCCTTCTTGTGCAGTCGACGCTGCGATTTCAATATGCATCATAATTAGTTTCAGTATACACTCCTTTAGCAGTTCCGTGAATACAAACAGCGACCGATGCGCAGTGAGAAGAGTAGTGTCAATATTGCCAAACACGAGTTGATATAAAAATATGAAAATTAAGAACGAAGCTTGCATAAATAATGGAAGCAATAAAAAGAACGAGTTGTAAAATGTATTGGTTATTAACCGACATATAAAAGAACATACCTAAGCCAAATCCCCGGAATCGAGTTTTATTCAGCTGTACATGTTTTTCTGCGACGATCATTTTAAAGCGTATCTGTGATTTATCATCAGACTGATATACTAAAAATGTGCAACTTTTTTACCGTATTCTATGTTTTCAACTTTTATGTGTAAATACAGTTTTTCCTTTCTTTACCTTCATATAAAAAACAAATTAAAATACTTATTTTAGGTCAAAGATGAAGACGAGTGTACAGGTGGAGTGACAATACTGGAAGATGAATACGGGAATCAGTTTAAAACTGTAACCCTTGATGAAGTTGTCCTCCCATTTGAAATACTGAAAGTTGGAGCAGAAAAAAGACTTTCTTATGTAAAGAATTTTCATTATGAGGATGGCGATGTTCTCTTATGTAGCTATCCGAAAACAGGTATTACTAAGTTACGTGAATTTCCTGCAACTTATTTTTTTTCTTAAGTCATTGTGTACGTAGTTAAAAATTTATTTGAAAATGTATGTATCTTTTCTTACTTATTTTGTAAAAAAATGAAATGACAGGATGGCATTAAATGCTTTTTCAAGAATGTTCTCTGAATTTGCATTCATATCTTCTTTTTGTTCAACATGATCATTTGTTGTATATTTATTTATACACGTGTTTGTTATAAACAACTCAACTTTTGCTAAGCACCATAAGTTAATTTGTATATTATCACAAGTATACCTTTCGCCAGGTTGGTGCAGCGCTCACCGTTATCACCAGAGCCTGGGAGAGGTACCAGCTACATGGTACACTCGCCAGGATGCATGCTGGAGGTTCGCAAAGGGTCAAAACACCAGCTCAAGATCAGTTTTTGGTCGTTCAAGCACGGCATCCGACAGCAACTTCTCTTAGAAATGACCTTGCTTATGCTGCGGGAGTCCGTGTTCCCATGCAGACGGTACGTAGATGGCTGCATGAAGGTAATTTGCGGTCGAGAAGACCTTGCATACGTATCCTCTTGACGGGTCGACATCGCCAGACCCCTTTTGAATGCACCATGGAGTATACACGGTGGACCATGCAACTCTGGAGACACGTTCTGTTTACTGATGAGTCCAGGTTCTGCCTAGACTTCACAAATAGGCGGGCTAGAGTCTGGATAAGACGAGGTGAACGGTTTCAGGCTGCAAATATTGCCGAGCATGACCACTACGGAGGTCGGTTAATTATGGTGTGGGGAGGCATCAGCTTGGATGGACAAACCGACCTGGTTGTGCTCAATAGATGCAATTTGGCATGTTAGCGATACATAGACGAGCCAAGTGGTTTAGGTCGTTGACTTTAAACCACTTGCCCATCACAGCTGTGGGTTCGAATCCCGACAGGGACTTTGGATTCTTTAATGTGAGGAAGCTATCCAGCTAGCTTACGGAACGTCGGTGGTTCTACTCATGTTCCCGTTCGTGCCTGAAATAATGCACGGAAGAGCACCTGAGGTCTTCCTCAACCAGTAAAGCTGGAACGTCGCTAAATGATCAATACTGTGTCGGTGTGACGTAAACCCCAATCAAAACAAAAAAATACATAGACGACATCTTAGGCAACAAGGTTAGGTTAGGTGGTATACTGGGGCAGTCGGCGATCATTTCATTCGAATGGGCGATAATGCACACCCCCATAGAGCCAGGGTGGTCCAGGACTACCTAGAGAGGAGCCTATGGAGCGCATGGACTGGGCGGCTCTCTCACCTCACATAAATCCAATATAACATATGTGGAATGAGCTGCAGGTTAGAATTGCAGCTCGTCAGCTGCAACCCTTAACCAGCCAGGGACAGTGTAAAACTCATTTATAGGGTTAAACTTTTAACTGAATTAATAAAACAGTAAATCAACATTCAAAACGTTTCGCACGGCGTCAATAAAACTATCCAAAAAATAATCACACTCAAACATATTGTGCTAAGCATACGTTGAGTAGTATATTTGTATACTCACAAATGAAAAGGCATTTACCCGTTAAATGCCAACAAGGTCTTTATTTTGAACTTATCTGCAATTGTAAAAGAGCGTTTATTAAAGTCAGTAATTTTCATCCATCTTGAAATCCAAATCATTATTTGTTCCGTAATTATGTAGTCGTCTAAAAGCACTTAAAACTTACATGTTATCCAAATTTTATGCAAGGATGCATTCAGTCCCTTTAGAAAATAAGTTTACTTTTTGCATCAGATTCCTGACTTAGACTTATTTTGCAAGGTTTTAGGGATACAAACAGACGTTTTACAGTAACAACTTCGAAAATAAACTTGACTAATTTTGTGTGAACTGAGAGACATTAAAGTAAATGTTTGAACCGTCATTTAAGCCAGGGAAAAGACATTTGTCGAGTTCCGCATTACAATTATTTTATATTTGTCATTACTGATATTTGAGCTCAAACGGTGGAAGATATTTATGATGAATTGTTTAAGTCGTATCATTAAGATTGATGTTTACAAGGTAAGTGCTACATTTGTTTCTTACTGATCAAATAGATACAAGATATATTCGGTTAAAATGTCTTACATCTTGAGGGATAAAGGTTTATCTTGGCACATCAATCTGTTTATTGAAACCTATTTTCTCCGTTTAAGGTACCCACTGGACAGCAAACTTGTTACATTATTTAATGTATGATGGACCACTGGATGATCTTGTTTCACATCCGCCCTGTCTTATAGATCTCTTTGATATGGATTCGGTGCAACAGCGAGATGGCAGACGAATTGTAACATCACATTTCCCGCCCAAAAATCTACCAACCGAACATTTTGAAAAGGGCGGGAAAACAGTTCTGGTGTTCCGTAATCCCAAAGATGCAGCCGTTTCGATGTATCATCAATTAATAAGATTCAAAATGTTAAGTGAATGTAAACTATCCTGGAAAAGTTACATTGATTTCTGGGTTGATGGGAAAAGTAAACAACTTTAAATGATAATTTAACAACAAATGTAATCAATTAAGAAGAACTTTATAAAAATCTTAATCAGAAATTTATTGTCACAAGATATCAAACTTTAAGAATATTCAGTCTAAAAAGATCAAAATAAATTGTGCACAATTCAATTTAAATTAGTATACGCTGGCACGAGAGTTTAAGCACTTATTTATTTAGTTCAAAAAACCTTTCTCGATGTCTAACTTTTTTAACTGATTCAGTAATAATTATCTAAATCTGAATTTCAGTGTTGATGGGGTTTTGTTTTACTACTTCAACAAGTGGCAAAGGTTGTTAGAGGAGAAACCATGTCTTGATGTACTAATCGTCCAATATATGAATACCTGAAAATGGTTTGTTTATATAAAATAACATTTTATGTTACATTTTTAATGCAGGGAAAAGAATGACGATTCATTATTTTCAAAAATATCTTATTATTAGTGTTATGAGTTGGTATCTGCGCATTCTATATTTGCTTTCGTATTCTATCTTTATTTCTCTCTATTCTATCTGACATTTTATTAATTTTGATTTTTACGTTCACAGTTTCATATCGTTTATAACCATCTAAATGTAGGAAGTAACTCAATTTAGCATTGAGTCTATTTGCTTTTCTGAAGAAACATAAAAAATAACTTATTTTTTGTAAGAATAAATGATATGAACATGACTTCTCATTTTGCAAAGAGCACTAAATTTGTATGTGTTGTTTCAATCTAGGATAGTCTAAATCAGTTACGTCGAATTCAGACTTACCCCTTGGACTCAGCCATTCTAACGAAAGACTTCAAGCCGTTTTAGATAAATGTTCGCTAGGCAATCTCAGGGCTGATGTAGAAAATGGTAAAGTTAAAACAGTACTAATTGATGAATCAGGAAAATCAATTCTCTATAGGAAAGGTAAGTAAAACAAGACTTTCTTAAGTTTTGATATCTTTGTATGACTGTTGAAGATTTGATATTTTGAGATATTTCTTTTTTACTCAGAGGACTTCAATGCATAATATAGATATAATGTTATCATTTGTTACAGGGATAATCGGGGACTGGAAGAACCATGTTACTGTTGCACAGAATGAGAAAATAGAAGCCGTGGCTGGTGCTAAATTTAAGAACAGCATATTTCACTACAAAGCTTGGGTTTGTTTACATAAGCTTATTATACATTGATTCGGTCTATTCTATTGGAATTTTGAACAACAATGTTGAATCAAGTTACTCAAGTACTAAAAGGCAATGTACCTCTGCCTGAAACTTTATCCAATACTTTATAAACTCAAACATTGGTGTCTGACAAAACAAATTAAATTTAAAACGCAGATAACTACAGGGGATGGGGGCGGAGTAAACAAACGTTGTATATTCATAGTTTGTACATATATTCTAATACATAATCTACCAGTTACAATTTTCATTGTTTGAATACAAAAATATATACTTCATTTACACGAACAGAACAAACCATGTATGTCTGACTAGAAACCTGTCAACTTTAAATGTAAATGTACTTACACATTGATGTCTTTTGTATATCAGCACATAAAAAATGTGTACACAAACGATGATGGAGTGGAACTTTTTTGTACAAGTTTACAGTTTACTGTTTCTTTACTGAATAGTTGTTTCTTTTCAAAGTTTATCTTTTCTATTAATAACTTATTTGTCTGCTTTTGTTTCTGTTAATATGCTCAGAATATATGGATCTGTAAGTGAGTAATTTAAAAGACTCCGAAACAGATATACATTATAACAACAACAGCAGCAGCAGGAACAACAGCATCACACCGATGTCTCCTTGTGCAAGAAACGCTACACACATTGCTCAGTACTGGTTGGTTCCAGGAACAGATACGAGAGTGTATCTATAGGTTTATAAATATCTACACAATCGAACTAATATAAATTATGTATGAACAGAAAAATAACGATAGGATTCTTAAATGTATAAATATGTACTCACATGCTCTTCTATAATGTCTTTTTTGCGATCCCTTGCTGATGTGCGAGTAAGCACGTTTTTATCTGAATATACATGTAGATAAATTAAAAGCATGGACGAGAAGCATGCAGCTGATGAAAAAGACTCTGAGAAAGTTTCCACTGGGCAGTATAACTATTCGGATTCATTTTTCATTTTTTTCATTGATTTAAGTTCGAGTTTAACCAACGATAAGGAAGGCCAGTTTAACTCCTCTTTGATTGAAATGCATGGAATACAACCTTATTTATATAATGAAATTATTGTTAGGGTGCCGTAGCTTTCAAAATAAAAAAGTTATTCGTATTATGCGCCTTTATAATTAATTTAATAACACAGATAAAAAAATTATCGCAAAGGGACAAAAAGGATCACGGATTATTCACAAGTATTTTGCTGAACTGTAAGCAATAGCACAAGCTAATACGAATGAATGAGAACAAGAAACTGGATTTTTTAGATCTTTTAATGCTTTTTAACTGTTATTGTTGGTCTGTTATAGATTGCAAAATAAACGAAGAACGTCAAAAACTATAAAACATATGCCTATGAAAGTGAAATTGACGCCAAATAAGTTAAGCCGGTATATCAATGCAAGAAAGAGCTCAATGATATAAGCAGAGTATAACATATCGAAAGCAAGTAACGGAAATTGTTTGATACAAAAATTTCCCAAGCATATACATATCGATGTAAGTGTCTTCGTTTACGATTTTAATTCATTAAAATAATGAAATTCAATGGTCTGCTTTTAAGCAATTAACTCAAACCTATCAGTCGTACATCAAAAATATTTACAACGAAAATTGTTTTCGTTCTCTTCACAAATGTTCATAATTTCTAGAGAAAGTGAAGAAAGATAGATAATTTTATTGACGTAAACAGTACAGTTTTTTACAGTTTCTGAAAAAACATTAAAGTGAAGTAAATGCCTTCCATTGGCACAGTTAACAAAGCAAAGACTTCATAAATAAAGGCATTGAAAATAAATTTTGAACAATTTCTTATTGTTGCTTGATTTTCACTCTTAAAAAGCTCTGTAAATTTACACTTGGTCGTCTATAATAATAGGTCTTAATGTATTGTCTTTTAAAATGTTCGTACATCAAACATGAAACGTATGTATGCAAAATGGTATTCATCTCCAATATCTCTATTTTAACAAAAGGTTCAGAAACGCTTATTCCTTTTTAGTCTGTTTTATTGTAGAATAGCGTCCAATTTCAATAGCAACGTTATGTGAAGATAATCTTAATTTTGAAAAAGCATTTCTTAACTTTAATGGCAATAAATCTAAATATGGTTCAAACCTAAATTCTGTTTTAAATTGCTTAAAAATAAATAGTGTTACTTATTCCTGCAATCGTTGAAACCAGTTTTGCTTGAATGTATCTATAAGCCAAGCTTAAAATATTGCAAGCAGCATAAAGTAACTATGCCGGAAATACGGCGTATAGACATCGCCGTTAATCTACAAACAAATAAATGACATTCAGTTTAACTATCAAATTAACTTACAAAACAAGATAACACAAAATGTATATGAGAAAATATTGTTTTATTGATGTTTATATTGATAAATGCTCTTTATATTTCTTTGAGAGAATCATGTTTAGTGCCTGATATTCTTTTATAAACTTGTGAGCTTGAAAAAAAACGATTATGATGTCACTTTTTTCTACCGTCAATCTGAAATCATTCTAGGAATGTCTGAGGGTCATGTTTTGTCTTGGGCAGAGTAATTTAATGTTTTTTTCTTGAGTTAATAAAATTCCCAATGTTAAGCTTTGTTAAATCAATTAAAATTCGAATTTTCGAACAGTTTTGAGCATTTGAATTTCCCAAGTAGTTGGCCCCGGAAAAATAAAACGCATACGTATAACATGTAGAATTGGATAAATACCGTCCAAGCTCAAGGATTTAATGTATGTGTTTTGTATTAAATATACATCATGAATCTTTTTTTAAAATTTTATGCTATTATAGCGTCAACGCACGTTTATTTCGTGTTATAAAGTCTGCAGAGTCCCTCGGAACTGTTGGAGCCCTCGCCCTACCGGGCTCGGGCACCAACCGTTCCTCTGGACTCTGCAGACGTTATAACACAAAAAAACGTGCGTTAACCCTATAATATTACATTTACACAAAATATCATATAATCTGTTTAATAATATATTAAGTGAACGATACAATTTGTCTCAAGAATTCAATAATGCGTACATAACTGTTGATGTAATGCGGGTAGCGCCCTCATTCACCATACACACCCATATTTGTACTACAAGATTTTAACATTTACTTACGTTTGGAATATAACACTAGTTTTTATATTAAGTCCCTTTATATTATTCACCAATATACTAAAAAGCCCTAAGGCCTTTGCAAGCCAACGTTTCTTGGTTTAAGATGAATGTACCGTATAGTTGAAAACAATCCCCAGGTAATTAATGTTGCCAACTATTTTTACTTTTTCATTATTATATGTCCATTGATCATTTTGCTTTACCTCAAGACAACTTTTTTTGTTTTGGAGGTGTTTACTACTAGGGCCCATTTGTTACAATATGTATAAAATAAAATAAGTATATTTTGGAGATCGCAACCAGTTTCACTTAAAATAATCATGTCGTCTGCAAAAAGCATTAGAATAAAGTAATATCATCTTAGGTTAAACCACTATCATGTCCTCTGTAGAAATGGGTCAAGATCATCAACAAATAATGAGAGCAATAAAGGGAACATAATCTCTCATTGTTTTAAACCTAAAGCACGCTCAAAGTAGTCAGAATATGAATAACAACCTTTGATACAAACGTTAACTTGTAAATACATATCCCTTAATATTCTAAATAATTTTCCATCTATACATGATTTATGCATCTTAGCCATAGTCAGTTTAAATACACACTATCAAATGCTCTTTTCATATCAACCACATAACAATATAAACGTTTATTTTAATCAAAAAGCTTATGTACAACAACGTTTTATACAAATGCTGCATCCACCGTAGCACGACCCTTGCGAAAAACTGAGCATCGCTCATGATATCATTTTCGGACCAATCATTCAGCCGTTTGTATAACCTTTCGAAAACAACTAGCAAGTATGATGCCTTTGTAATTCCGTACATCGCATGGGTCGTTCTATTTAAAAATAGGCTCTATTATACCGTTAGGCCAATCAGATGGAAAATGTCAAGAATTCAAAACTGCATTAAAATATCTACCAAATGTGTCGATAGTATATCATAACACTAAATTATTCGTTTATTAGATTATCACTACCACAAGCTATATTTCTTTTTAGTGTTTTTAACAATAAATTCGACTTCCGTTTAAATTGTGGTTGGTTTATCTTACTCCACAAAACTACTCTTATTTGCACCAAAATCTTATCTGAAGAAAATTTATCAGCTTCATTTTTCACAGGGGTTTGCTTTTCAATTCGCCAACTTGAAAACTTTAAAAAAAACATCTACAGTAAACATCTAAAGTTCCATTTCCTTTCTCATTTTTCTACGAAACAACACTTCCAAAATGCTTTTAGTTTTGAGTGACGTTGTTTTATTTTTCACTTTCAATCTTTTGTCTTTTACGATTTACTCATGATTTTGCGACGGACCCGTCCTCGGCAGCGTTCAGAGCTATTTCATCTACATATGGAACTTCGACGTCTAGAATCGAAAAATCGAACCGAATAACATATTAACAAATAGTACAAGGCTTAATCATATAAAGCACACGCATAATGTCGGAATATATTGAAAGTGTTTATGTTCCAGTTTAATTGCAAGGACCGTTAGTAAATAAACAAACCAATATCATATATACGAGAACAACATCGTAATAATTGCAGTTCCTTGTCCTAATTGGCCACATCCAAAGTACAGCCAAAACGGGTTTTATGAATAAAAGTCGGAAGCAGAAATAGTAGAACGATAAATAATATATAAAATCGTAGTCATATTGTTTTAACATAGAGCAAAAATGCAAGTAAAAACATAAAGAGTTATTATGCTCCCCGAAAAATTTCGTCCCGAATTCGTATCTGGCCCGTAACTTCGTTATTTGAAGTCAGATTTTAGAAAAATTTCACAGAAATGATCACAATAATGAGACGACGTGTAGCGCGCAACATTTGGTTCGCTACCTTGAAGGTCAAGGTCACAGCATAACCTTGCAGCAAAATCGTGTCAGGCACTTAACTTTGTTATTTGAAGTCGGATTTTACAACTATTTCACAAAAATGATTACCATTTTGAGACGATATTACCGGCGAACATTTGGATCGCTACCTTGAAGGTCAAGGTCACAGCATGACCTTGCAGCAAAACCGTTTTCGGCCCATTACTTCATTATTTGAAGTCGGATTTTACAACTTTTTTCACAAAAATGATCACCATATTGAGACGATGTGTCCCGCGCAACAATTGGGTCGCTTTTTTGAAGATCAATGTCATAGCATGACCTTGCAGCAAAATCAAGTCCGCCCATTACTTCATTATTTGAAGTCGGATTTTACAACTTTTTTACAAAAATGATCACCATATTGAGACGACGTGTCGCGCGCAACATTTGGGTCGCAACCTTGAAGGTCAAGGTCACAGCTGACTTGTAGCAAAATCGTGTCCATAACTTCGTTTTTTGAAGTCGAATTTTACAACTATAAGACAGCCTTGATCACCATATTAAGACGACGGGTCGCGCGCAACTTTCGGGTCACTACCTTGAAGGTCAAAGTCGCAGCATAACCTTGCAGCAAAATCAGGTCCGGCCAATAACTTCGCTATTTAAAGTCGGATTTTACAGCTATTTCACGGAAATGATCACCTTATTGAGACGTGTCGCACGCAACGTTTTGGTTGTTTTTATACTTTGAACTTTGTCTGTGACATAACTCTGACACTACAAGAGTATCTTCCTGTGTCCAAAAGTAGTTGGGGGAAAAACAAACAAAAAAAAACACAAAAAGTATTCTCCATGTACCAGCACTATTTTTATTAATAAAATTGTATTATAGTAATTTCTGACCGATGTACAGACAATTCATACCTCACAAACTTCATCCTTGGCCATTTTTGCAGACACTTTACCGCTCTGACAATTCACATATATTTTTAAGAAATTTGATTGAGACACTTCATCCTCCATTTTTTTTTGTGTTGAACAATCATTAATGTGGAAACATTAAAATTAATGTATTCAATATTGAAGTGTCTTTGAGGGGTGTAGCGTCTTTAAATATTGAGGCGTGAAGTGTC